GAGTGCAAGTTAAGTGATCAGTCAACATTATAAGTCGAGATGGTGTAAACTTGGTTGTGATGGTGATGCAATGCTTGACTTATGCCACTAATTAAGACTTGCAAGACTCACCTATGATTAATATTTGAAACGACAAATAGATACAGTCACTCTATTTTTTCGTTTGATAATAAGCTGAAATAAATTAGAATGTCCAAAAACAGCACCTTAAGTAAAGCTAACATGTAAAACTTCTTTACATGTTTTAAGTGAAATTTAAAACAGTTCCACACTTGTTAAAAGTATTCAAAAACACTTTTATTTAGCATTTTTAATTCCCTGTCAAACGATACCAAGATAAAAATATTGAATAAAAAATGTTAAATAAAAGTGTTCTTGAATTTGTTTTTATAAAATTAGCCGTTTTTGAGTAATTTAAGTTTAACAATTAAAATGACCACAATTTTAACATTTTAAATTGAATCAAGGTGAGTTTTTTCTAACATTGGTCTTTTATATCTTCAGCTACATACCAAGTTTTATAAATATCATTTAAAAAAAATCAAAAATAAAAATGTTTATGTAAAAAATACAAAATGGCGGATATCTGGTAAATGAAGCGATTTAGGAAAACATGTAATGTTGATTTTCTCTTTATTTTGACCTATAAAACCATTTCCCGGAGTTTGGCTGTTTTCTTACAGGACACCCTGTATTTTTTTTGAAACACTGGCACAAAATATTTTTATATTATTTCAAGTAAAAATATTTAAATAGGTGTGATCATAGCTTGCCATTGAGAGTATTCGGTCATTGCTGTTCATGGATTTTTATATGATGCACACTATTACGAAAACTATTATTATGTTGATTCAAATACTGTATCAATAAGTATTGTTAAAAGTTGTACTTATATACCTTTGACTATTTGATGAAAAGGTGATTCTGAGGCAACATCGATTGTAAAAACTTTCGACTTTTAAAAATAATACTGTGTAACAAAATTGTCAGTAGAGGTAGCATTAAATTGGCACCATTTGTTTGTGCAGCTGTTGATCGTCGTTTATGCGATTAACAGTAATTATTGTAACTCACAAGCAAAATACTTGTACTCACGTACAAAGTTGTTGAACGAGTTGTGAAGAAATTCATGGAAACTGGATTCAAGAATGGAAATCGTATATGTATTGCTTCTAACTGTAAGTACTTTCATCCCGAGTTGCAATATTCTCATTATTTACTAGAGTCATCAGGTTTTGGGTTTGATTTGTGTACGTCAATTGATTTTTACAGACTGTGGTTGATCACCTATTTTGGGGAATAGAGTGGCGAGTTCCAATTAATTTTAAACTCAGAAATTTTATTTATATTCCGGAAGAAATCTGCACTAACACATGATTGTAATAAATTGAAATTAAAAAAAAAAATAGTTTATTCAAAGTACATCTCGGAACCTATGACCGAAAACTGAGGTTTTGCAGAATTAAGATAGTTTTTAAGTTTGAGACGAAGTCGAGAACTTAAAAAGATTGAAAGCTGCAAAACTATTTCGGTCCGTGGTACGAACGCCATTTTAACCACACTGTACCCTATATGTATTATTAACTATTACCACTAATCACCAGAAAAATAATAAACGCTGACAGTCAACACAACTGCAGCTTTAAGATTGTGTGAAGAAATATTTTAGGAATAGGAAAAATAATAAATAGTTGCTAGGCAGCGGTGACAATAAAACAAGTCTATTGTTTTGCTATGAACACTGATTGTTTATTTAATATGTATGTTTTAAGAAAGTAAGCCACCAGTTGATTTTCGGCCCTAGGGATGTAAAAACCATCTCGGCCCCAAAATGACTATGACAGCTGGCATGGACACGTAGCCATCTATGGAATTATTAAGCTTGAGTTATACATCTATGTACGTAGCTTTTGGCCTACAATATAAGTTTTAAAAACGGCTAAAACATCGTAGTGTAATGAAAAATATTCATCTTCTTTCTTATTACTTGTTTGTAGGGCTTGATGACATGAGGTGAAACTCAAAGTGATTATTGCAATTAGATTATTTATTCTGACGATGATTGACGAAGATAAAAATTACATAAGCCACTCACTAGATCAACTTAAACTAAAATAATAATACTGTTAGTGATTAGGTGATTAGGTTAGTGATATTATAAGTGTAGTTAAACTATGTAATATTACATGGTTTTGGACTAAATTTAATGTCACTTTTATTGGCCGTAATATAGTTAGCCACAATTTTAGTAAACCACAGTTTTACAAGAGAAGTTTTAACATAGTATATTCTATAAAAAATAACTGACGTTTAAACATTCAGGGCATGGAAACATTGCCGAAATACATATTATTAACCAAGATGTCATTTTCGAAACGTTTACAGTCTACAGGGTGATTGATATAAGTGTCCCAGCTATTTTATTTGAAAGTTATGATAGATATAACAAAATTTTAAACTGCAACAGCCTTGGATTTTTTATTTAAAACATTGGTCAAGTTCTAAAAGTTATTTTAGCTGCCATTTTTCCAATATGGCCGCCAACTTTGATTCGTGCTTAGGAAAATCTTATATTTTATCATTGCTTAAGAAAGTAAATGCAATTTAAAAACGTAACGTTTAAAAGCTACTCGTTTAGGAGTTACAGCGTGTTAAAACTAAGGAAAAATGACTTGTGGTGTACATTCTGCAATAAGTTGCTCCTAAACGAGTACGTTTAGAACAAAAATGTCAAAAGGAAAAGTCTTAAACTTGCATCTAGATTCTAAAAAGATGACATACACAGTGTTCCTATTTTCAAATTTCCTTACCATTTTGAAAAATGGTGGCAATTTTCGAAACAATGAAATACATATTTTTATGTATGTTATGGTCTTTTTAGAATTTAAATGAAATTTTAAGACTTTTTTACTCTTAGCATTTTTGCTTTAAACGTACTCGTTTAGGAGCTATTTAATGCAGAATGTACACGATGTAAATCCTAAACAGTAGCTTTAGAAAATAAATCCCAAGAACAAAAACGTTTTTAAATTTCATTTACTTACTAAAACAATCATAAAATATAGGGTCTTTCATAAAAAAAAAATCAAAGTTGGTGGCCATATTGGAAAAATGGCGGCTAAAATTATTTTTTAAACTTGACCAAAATGTTTCAAATAGTTACAATTTTACATTTTGTTATATCTATTATAGCTTTCGAATAAAATAGCTGGCACTCTTATATCAATCACCCTGTATATAGATAGGATGAGCAATTCTAATATATGTTGCATCAGATATCGTGTGAGAAATTTACATAATTTGCCTTAAAATATTTGCAGGTATACTAATTTGTTTCGTTATTATTACAGGTTTTTGGTGCTTTTATTTTGCCTGCTGTAAAAGCTATTGTGAGTAATATTTTAATATACGTGTAGAAGTAATTCATCCCTTACCTGTATGGTGGCTTTACTAGACTAAGATGTTTGAATGAATGAATGAATGAACGAATGAATTGCTTTATTTTAACACTTAATAATACAATTGCCAAAACCGTTCGTTTGGTTGGCACACCTGAATATTAATATGAAACACAATTCTGAAATTAAAATCAAACAAATTCTAATAAATTCCTCGCACAAACAAATAAAATACCTAATTACATCCAAGTTATATTAATTTATGGAAAGCATACATAAAGTTTTTTTGATTGATTAACTCTTTTATTGTTAATAGGTATAATAGGTTTATGTGGCAATGAATTATATAAAAATATCAATGAATATACAATATAGAAAATATGTTGATTGTTTGCTTGAATTGTGAAGGAAAATACAACATTCTTCAACTTGATTAATTCGTAATTAAATTTTCTTATTAATTTCTAACTCTTTTCACACCCCTCTCTCATAAAGTCTGCATATTTACGCCAATCTCTACCATTAATGTATTTTATGTATTCTTCCTAATTCATGTTTTGTTTTTCAAACCACTACTCTATAATATTTTTAAAAATAAGGCAAAAGGCAATAAAATGAAAAACAGTTCCGAATCATCACAGTTTGCACAAATAAATTGTTTTTGGTTCAAATAAACTATGCTCGGACATTGATGACTCATGAAATAAGACTGGGAAATCATTTATACATTAAACAACCCTATATTTATATGACCTCGACTTTGTTTGTACTTACTTGTTTGTTGTAAATTATTTATCTACTTCTTTCAGTTGCTGTATATTAGCCCTTACCTAAAGTAAGTTACAATTTCCATTTTTTCCCGTTTGTACTACCTTTACATGAGTAGAGAGAACATTTTTATTTAAATAATTCATTCAAGGGAAAAAACTACAAAACTGAAAACCGACAACCGAGTACATAAAAATTTGAACGAATGGTGTTTTTTATATGTTCTATATTAAATTGGACTTTTCCAACGTGTCTTGTGTTTAAAACTACACAACGTTTCTGGAGGTGGGTAAACTCCTCCCGTTTTTGTAGCATTAGTTATTATTGTACACCCGATTAATGTAGCATTAATATTTTTCAATTGATAACGGGAGGAGTTTACCCACCTCCAGAAACGTTGTGTAGTTTTAAACACAAGACACGTTGGAAAAGTCCAATTTAACATAGAACATATTAAAAAAAAACCAACGTCATTATGGGTTTTAAAAACTCATAATGACGGTGTTTTTCGGGTCTGAAGACACCAAATTGAAAAAGTAAATCGGTCCCAGGCCTAGGTCTTACCGTGCCACTTACGGCAATAGCTACTTCCCTATAGGAAAATTCGCTAATAGATGCGAGAGCTCTACAATATGTACATTTTTACATTGAGTCAAATGAAACTACAACTCAACGATTAATAAAAAAATACTTAACCTAATTTTACTGACCTGATATTATCCAATTAGAAGTATACAAGTCCCTAAAAATTTAAAAGTATTTGAATCAACAAACTTAACACTTATTGGTGTTCTGTAAAAGAGTAAATTGTATTTAACCTAAATATTGTTTCAGAATAAAGACTATAAAATTAGTACCGTAAACTCTGAAGTCGTTGATGGGTTTACCGGAGGACTCTACTGGGATGGTGAACACAATCGACTTTACTGGCTAGAAATGGGTTACGATGATGACCCAATGTCTATCGTCTGCTACAATCCAGACACAGGGGTGACCTTCAAGGCTACAATAGGCAGGGATCCAATTGCAATACAACCTGATTACTTACTGCATTAATAATAGCACTGTTACGTTAACACATAGAATGGTGCAACATTATAAGACAATTTTTTTTTATTTCAATTCAAAGCACTTATACATTATTGTTTTGAAATATTATTTGTGGAAGCATTGAAAAAAACGCTAAGCTAACACAGCAAACTAAAAATAGAAAATATAAAAAAATAATCCTGATACACAAAAAAAAAAAATCCAAAACTAAAGAGGTTTGGTTTTCATTATATAGCTTCAACCCTTCATATTATGAAGGTATATTTCATGACTATTATTTTACTACAATTATAGACAAATTATACTATTCAATCCTGTTCCATTACTGCTACCAAAACTGAACTGCACTGTAATTTCTTTACTCGATAGTAACTGTTGCTGTAATCTAGTTATTTAAACGTCAAAAGTCCCTTTTACCGAACATTGAAAAAAATCCTCCACTGGATCTTAAGACTATTCTAACACAAATTCAATACAAACAGGAGGCAAGCTGAGACCTTTGTCCATGGCTATTCAAGTGGAAGGGACACAGGATATGTTCCTTATAGGAGTGGGAGGTGCTCTGGCTTTGATTCGGTGGGATTGTACAAGTAACAGAGATATCAATCCTGTTGAGGTATTTCACTTGGAAAATGGTAAGCGATTTAATGATGGAAAAGCGGACTCTGCAGGACGACTTTGGGCTGGTAAGTTGGCAATTAAACTGAATGCAAGGTCATGGGTAAGAATGTGGGAGGCTGGATTTGTTTTGTGTTGGGTACACATGCTGAGGGGAATGCTTGTTTTTTAACGTCTCCTAGGCCTTATTTCGTCCTGTTCTCCAGTATTATGCACGGCAACTTGTTATGTAAGTTAAGATAAAAAAACCATGTTATAAAAAAGTTACCTTGATCCAGTTTAAAATTAGAATACCCTAACCACAGCAAACTTGCAGGCTAGACGAATTTATATTTACCTGGCAGGATTTCTACTATAATATTCCCTTAAAACTGTCAGATTTATTTTCTATTTAAAAATCATTAACCTTAACTTTAGTTTCTTATTAGTTTAATCAAAATATATCCCTAACCAAGCAAACTACAACAGTTTACTCATTCTTTATAAAAATGACATGGGAATTTTAAATTTTTAAATTTCTTTGTAATTCCTTTGCAAACGTACAAAAACACTTCAAGATACTAAATTATTTGTTTATTAAGTACTTAAAAATGGTTTTTAAATATTTCGGGAATTTTTGGTTTTTATTGTAAAAAAAAAGAAGATTTATCCCATAAATCCCCCCAATAAAACGTCGTTTCCTTGGTCTGAGCATGTCGGTTCGTGAACTCGTTCGAATAAATGTAGGTTTACAAGTTTGTTCCAAATTGCATTAAAATCGGATCATTTTCGCTCGAGATATCGTGCTAACGGACACGAATATAAAAACAATATACAGTATATAGATATGTATATATAAATATATATATATATATATATAGATTGTAGTAGTTAAAAAGAACAACTGAGCATCCTGAATATTAATTTTTAAGTAGTGTTTTTTTTACATGTTTTGGACATAAGTCCGTTTTCAAACTTCAAATAACATTATATCCTAACCTTTTGTTTACATTGTTTGTTTGTATATAAATAAATATAATTTAGATTTTACGGATGATTTATAGAACTAGACAAGATTTGAAAATTTTTTTTGTTACTGATTATTTAATTCTAAAATTTGGTAAAAGATTGGGTTTCTTGAAGGAATTGGGCTATTTAAAATATGATTTGGATTTATTTCGATCTTCTTCGGATATGAAATATTTTTCAGTTGAATCCATTCAATTTCCTTTGTTTATAACTTTTAGAATTTTGATGTTTTTTTTTTTAATTGATGCAATTGTGGTTAGTCGATAAAAGGGTGTTCAGCAAAGTTTGATTTCATGGATGTTCTGTTGTTACTCTTAAGAGCTTGAATGTGCTCTTTGAATCTAGATGTAAAAGAACGTCCTGTCTGACCAATGTAGAAGTGTTCTTTATTTGTAATAATGTTATTTTTTCATTAATATATATAGATATATAAATATGTAATATATATGAATCCGAACAGATGGTTTTTTGGCCTTTAAGGTGTAACAACATTGTGTCGATTGGTTGTAACTGATTGAAACTGGTGGGATGTGTCTGAGGAATAATGGAAGAGTGGTATGGATAGATGAGGGTTGGGACCTGAAAATATGTAATGAAGTAACTATAAGGTCGAGGAATTGGGAAGGGCTGTAACTGTATTTTAAAGGGGAGGTTTTTTCCTGAGGTTGATCGTGCCGTGAACACCCTAAGCAAGCTTTGGATGAGCTGTGATTAACAAATTTATAACATGAAAACCTTATTACTAAATCACTACCTGAAATTGTAAGAATTACGTTGACATGAATAATACATGAAATTTGATTAAAGTAATATATTTTGGGAATTAACAGCGGAGAAAAATTGAACAATTTAGAACCATGTGAATTTGTTACTTTGATTCAACAAGCTGAATGCCGGTGCCTCTTAAGAAAACACCGACATTTTAAATTGTAAAACTACATCCAAAAGACTCTGGGTTCTCTCCGGCAACCCCTAACTAAACATTAACTATATCATGTTGCTAATTCTGACAACCTAACAATTACTACTTATATTTAAATACTTATTGACTAAATTATATGGAGAGAAGTCGCCCAGATCTTGATCGACGTTACACGGCTAAGAAGGGACGTGAGAGGTTTTTTTTTAGACATTTGTCATTTTGCTGTCATTGTTGCGTTTGGCAATGTGATTTCAGCCAGTATGTTCTGCTTGCGTGCCGAGCACATATATAAAACGGTGACGCGCAAGGCACAGGGGACATCAAAACGACAAAGTAAATCGGTCCCAGGTATACCATAAGACCTACGGTAATAGCTAATTCCCTATGGAAATTCCCTAAAAAAAATTATGTAAACAATAACTATGAAATATTACGATTTAAGCTGTAAAATGGGGTAGAATAAGGCCAAACTAGTCATGTTCGCATCATTATACATTAATGGTTTTTATTGATCAGGTACATTGAAACCAGGGTCCAGCCCACGTTGGTATGACTATAGATTTGCATCTATCAACAAAATTGACGAAGGAAAACAATTAAAACGAATGTTCTCTAGAAAGGAGATGATGAACGGTATGGAATGGAGTTTGGACGACAATACTATATTCTTTATGGATTCTTGGAACCATATTATATACAAGGTTAACTATGATAGAAAAAAAGATGAACTAGGTATGTAAATCATGTCTACTTAGTGTACAAATTATAGTTTGTAGGTTTTTTGGGGATTTTTTAGAGAGAGGTGGGAAAAATGCATTTACGCACACAGTTGGCGAGCCTGTTGTGTGGGACTACAACTGGTTTAAGACTCAAAGACTACCCACTAAAAACCTCCACTACTCTTCGGACACTAGCCTGAGAACACTAGTCGCAACTAGGCCAAATTTGCCTACGCCCGAAGGGCTTAAACTGTGTCTAGCAGTTCATTTCTTACACGACTAAGACTGCGAGCCGATCTAAATAGTTCTTTTTAACTTGAAGGATATTACGGACAAAATGCGACCATCAGTTTTAGCTGTCCCCCCCTCCAATGGTTTGTAGTTGCATTTAACTCAAAATGTACTAAAACAGGAATATTTTTCCACAACTAAGATATAAATGAATTGTATTTTACTTATTTTAACTTAACTTTCAAAAAATTAAACATTAACTTACTTATTCTAGCTGGCTTGATAGTTACTGACAAAATAGGCAGTTGAGGATCAAGTAAAATAAAACACTATGATAAACCTAAGTTTTATTCTCTAAAGGTCTATTTCAATTTATCATCGCTCCTTCAAACCTATGCAAATTTATGTTTACCACCAGCAACGTCAGGGTGTTCCTGAAAATAATGAACATCAAACCAGCAGCACTCCTTGCGATCAACCTCGTCCTTCGTGTCACCACGTCGGTCGACCAGACCAAAGGTGTCACCTAAGAAATTTGCTGCGTATAAAATTTACTAGAGCGGAGGAATGTGGTGATATTCTAAGTACTGTACAAAATGTCAGCTGACATTCTTAATGTTTTAGTAGGTTTGTTTATTTATTCTGTTTTGCTTAATAAAACCTAAGTTTAATTCTCTAAAGATTTATTACAACCTAAAATTAATGTGGACCATTGTTTAAATGGGTAACTGAATTGAAAAAAAATGTTGTGTCTTAGGAAAATCGAGATGGGCCTGGTACACCCTATACGAATCCACAGCAGAAACACCTGAATACATTTCTGGTTATGGACTGACCATCGACAATGAAGGGCAGCTGTGGATCCCTGGCAACGGTCTGGGGACGGTAAGGTCTAAGGAAAGGTTTAAGGTCTTATTAACTTTTGATTTTATTTAGGAGTTTTCTTGACTCAATCTAATTACTTTCATTGCAAAACGATAAATATTTTTCATTTTTGCCAATGTTTTATGGAAAAGGGTATTTTAAAATGTTTATTTCACTATCTACAATTTAATGTCAATAACTACCAGCCTCAAACTAATCTAGTTACATAGGCATATTAGTTTTGGACTAAAACTAACAAATAAATATTATAGGTCAAATAAATATTGTAATAGACGCTATGCAATTATTCGTAACATATCGACCCACAGGACCGTGGAATATGCCGATGCAAGCATATGACAATCATAAACAACATTTGATACATATGAAGTTTGGGATATCAATTGTGTGAATTTATATTCATATATTGATTCGAATTCGAACGAAGTGTTTTTTACCTTTGGAGACCTCAAAACAAAAAGGTAAATCGGTCCCAGTGCAGGTCTTACCATGAAACCTACGGTAATAGCTTATTCCCTACATGGAAAGTTCACTAAAAGCCGAAAAAAACTAATTGGCTTTGTAATACCTTTGATTACTCTATGGTTAATTAATTGATCAGCTGAATGATAAAATAAGATTGTTTTTCATTTCTGTACTTTGTTGTTGTTCTGAAGTTTAACAAAATACAACGAAATTTAAAAATGTTATTAAAATATATCCATGGATAAGCAAGCTACAACAGTTTATTTATTCTCCATAAGATTAATATTGAAATATTAAATTAATTTTTTTTTCCGTAGCATACAACAATGCTTTAGTATACTAAAGTATTTGTTTATTTGAGCTTAACAAAATGGTTTGGAAAGAAATTGCAACTCGTTCGAATAAATGTAGGTTTACACGTTTATACTAAGTTTCATCAAAATCAGATCATTGTATCCATAAGTCCCAGAAACTAATTGTTAAACTTATAATATAGAAAATTCAACTGTCTAAAACATTGACGTTACATATTTTTCGCTAAAACGCACCAAAACGGAGATATAGGCGGAAATCTCTTGAAATTACCGATTTTTTCGATTTTCGATTTTTCCAATATGGTGGTTAGGTGGGCGCGGAGGGGGGGGGATAATTTTGCTACACCTACTTACACTCCTAGACAACATATAACAAATATAGAACTACCGGACCGTTTGTAAGTTAACCCCCCTATTTATGTCTCTATATACTGGATTACAATGGGAAAGTCAGAATCTGTGGCGACTTCAAATGAACTATAAACCCTTTCATTAGTTCTGTGCAACATCCCCTACTACGGTTTGAAGATATCATGATGAAATTACAAGGTGGCAATGAGTTCACTGTACTGGACTGACATATGGATCAGATGGACACACTCTATCCAAGTGACTTCAAACTCTCCTTTTTAATACAGGACCACGCCACACCAAACTACCGAAAATACACCATTTGAAATGTTGTACGGTCGACAACTGAGGTGCAAACTCAGTACTCTTAAACCAGATGTGAATGCAAACATCGATGAAGCTTTGGTAAGACAGAAAAGAATCACGACGTACATGCAAAGTGGAGAGAGTTTAAACCAGGCGATCCAGTGTGGGTAAAACAATCAGTGTGCGAAGAAGAATTCTGAGAAGGCCTGGTCTAGTATCACAAAGAGTGCGCCAAAAAACCTCACGGTTTCTGTTTTGTAATAAGTCAGCTGTTATAAGAGACCTCATTGTTGTAGTGAACGATTGCTTATGTTATGCCATTTTTAGGTTATGTTTGGTAAAACATCACGTCGTCAAAAGAAAGTTACTGTCTAGTGTGGTGCAGTGTGGTGTGGCACTGTTTGGAGTCATCGGACCATATGTTTTTGAGGACGAAAGTGGGAACAGCCCCTGTCACTGTAAACTCGGAACGCTATTTGGAAATACTGAGGGGGTTTTTGGTTCCACAACTTCGGATGTTATGAGGGATAGACATAACACGTGGTTTCAACAGGACGGCGCAACTTGTCATACAGCCAATTATTCAATGTCAGCTTTGCGTGAACTCTTTCCCGGTAAAGGGATCTCTTGGTTTGGTGATGTGCTGTGGTCAGCTCGATCCCCAGACTTAATTTTGTGTGACTGTTGGCTGTGGGGATACTTTTTGTTTCGAAATGTCAAACCATCCCTGAACTCAAGCAGTGTATCAGGGAAGAGATTGCTTCTATTCATCAGGCGAGGGTGACTGCAAATATGCAAAAAAATGGGAAGCCTGCGTTTAGGAGAAGGACATCACATAAGTGATATAATTTTTCATAAGTGAAAATGGCATAGTAGTGTGTACAATATAACATTATTTAATATATAAAATTGTATTTTTTTCTTCAGTTTTTTAGTATTAAAAACTGTCAGGTTATTTTGGCGCACCCTATATATTGTAAGTCAAGAAGGAAGGGAATATTGGCGGCACACCGATCAACTAAGAAGCAGACGTAACTAAGAAGCATAGGTATTATTCAAAAAGAGGAGCATGCGAGTTTTTTAAAGTGAGAAGATGTGCAATGTCTTTGATTACTCTATGGTCATTTACTATTAAAACAAGTTTGTTTTTTATTTCTGTTATTTTTTTGTCGTTCCGAAGTTTAACAAAATACAACGTTTGTTTAATGCTCTTACATTTTTATATTTTATTAGTGATTTTACAGACTTCAAAATCTTAACTTATGTTACTCGCTTATTTAGGGGCTTATACACTATATAGGATTAAAAATGTACGAGAAAAATACTGCAGTATAAGCAAAGCTACCAAGCAAATTGAGTAACCTTTTATCTGTTCGTGTTTTTAAAAAAGATCTTTACGATTTTGTTAATTTTACAAGTTGTTAAATCGTAGCTTGGTCTTTATAATCTTATAGATAAAAAAAAAATCATTTAACAAAATATCAACCACGATTATATTGCAGTTGGATACTTAAATTATTTAATTAATGTTTCAGGTGTTTCGAATTAATCATGAGCAATTGGGTCCGAATCCACTGGTATCCTTGAAGGCGGAAGAGATAACAATACCCGAAACCATGTGGCCGACGTCTGTGTGTTTTGGCGGCAAAGACCTCGACATTCTTTTTGTAACAACCGCTCGTTTCGATTGGACAAAGATTCTCAAAAATAAAAAACAAAATCCAAACGCAAGTACTACGGATTACCCAAAATCTGGATATACGTTTATGATAACTGGGCTTGGAGTGACAGGAGCGAGACCCAGCAGACCCGTCAAAATACCAGATGATATGCTGAAGAAATGCTGCTAGGAGAAAGGGAATTTAAACTGACCATCCAAAATATTCAAAAAACAGAATACATAAAACATACTCAGACAAAAATTCGTCAATAATTTACCTTTAAGTCTGTTTTCTAGGGGTTTTGGGTAACTATAATGCAATTTTCCTTTAAAATACGCCTCTTAGAAAGATTTGCCTCGATAATTATTAAATCGAATTCCTTAATTTAGTCGAGTATTGGAATTTACAGTCCATAGCTTTTAATTACAAACATGTAAATTTATACGTGTATTTGCTGGGCATTTCCGTCTCATTATGTAGAAGCTTTATGTAGAAGCTATTAAGTTTAATGTCAAAGTTAACCAAAACATTTTATTCCACATTGAATAATCCACATCGAGTTGATTTACTAAGTTTGTTTTACTAAAAAAAAAAATGGATTGAAAATGTGTACATAGCATAGGTTACTCAATGATGTTTTAATCCATATATATATAGCCCAAAGTACCCATGAACTTTTGAGAAAACTACAAGTCACACCCCCATGAACCATATACTTAAAATGTTCGACATTACGAGAAACCCTGCGCAAAACTATCCATTATTTCATAAATTACCCTTTAAGGTCGTAATTCCTTTCTAAAGGGAACTTTCCATATACCTAATGTTAAAAATACCTCAGCTGTACTTTTTTGTATGTTATTCTTTCAATCAATTTATTACCTTATTAAAATCAGGTGTGATTATTTGTTTGTATTAATGTATTCTGTTTAGTTTATTTCAGCTTAACTTTAACCAATCAATAGTTCTATTAATACTTATGAAGTCAAACGGGGCGAAACCCGTGGGTAACAGCTAGTGTTGCATAAACTTATAATTTTAGTTAAATAATCAATCAAATAAAGCGTATGGGTCTTAGATGATACACAATCGTTTAGAATTGAATTTTAAAAATCATATTCTTCCATTTGTAAACGTTGACGTCAGAAAAAGTAGGTTTTATCGAACTATATGTCATGTTTGAAATATAATATTTCTATAATGTGACAAAGAAACACAACTGTTCACTTTAACTGTCACAACTTTTCTCTATGGACTAAAAATGAATAGTAACACTTGCATTGATATATTGTTGAGTTGATACACGTGGCCCTTTCTGGAAACTCTATTTCAACCTTGTATTTTCTGACTGATCGAATACCTATATGTGGTGGAACGTATTAAGCAAATCGGAACCAGACAAGTTTTAAACATAATTGACTGGACAAAAATGTTTTTTTACATAAAATTTATAAATAAATGAACTCGTATAATTAATATCCTAAACGTTTTCATAACCACTTTTACAAAATTGTTACAACAAATAAAAATGAGTTGTGTCATAGAAAATGTTGAATCTAAAAGATTAAATACTCAAAATGTATTAATTTAATGTAACCAAAAGACAATTGGAGAGCATGAAATAAAAAACTTTGGTTCTCAGTTTACATTTCAGTTTGGTTCTCTTTTGACATATGGTTTTAAAATTGATACGATGAATTATGACAATAATTTTTATTTTTGATTAGGATAATAAATCAAATCTTCCGGAAGGTTAAAAATGTAAATCCTAAAAATCGGATTGAAATATTTTCAGAGTTATTAATAAATAAATTAAGTTTAAAAAATGTTCTACTTGCGGAGTCCTTTAAAGTTGCGTTTCTTGAGAGCGAAACGGTAGTGGTGAGCTCTTGAATGTGAAGTGTAACAAATGTGCCTATTGGTATTCGTGGCCTCACCAAACTGTAATCGATGACGAGGCAATCTATTATATTACAACATCCTAACACCTTGCATCAGTTTTCATGTTCCGTTATAAAGACCTTTGTGAGGTATAAGTAATGTTAACTTAGTTTTTTGACTTAAAATCAATAACAATTTATTGAGTAAATATAACCAATAACCACCCCCTATCTTTTATTAAAAAGAACACGAAAAATTAAAAATTTTTAGTTTTCAAATTTATTTACCATGTTTCTACTCATCTTTAAAATATGAATAGTCATTACAGTCCTATCCTTCCTAAAGTTTTTGCGTGCTTCGTTTTTACTGTTATTAACATAGAACGTAATTTTTTTTGTGCTATTTCCCACCAAAACACAGTTCCGTAAAATGTTTTCTCCATAATTTGTTCATCGGAAAATATGTAAGATTATTAATTTAATGTTTATAAATACAAATAATTTTTAAATTCTAACACTCGTCAAACCTTAAATTTAAGCAGCAGTGTCTGTTGTTGCTTATTTAAACGTATAGGTAATTAATTTTAACATCTACCCAACTCGAAGTGACGTTAATACCGCATGTGTTCATCGGATAAGCGGTTCAAGTTTAGCAAGTTCAGTTCTGTGGTCTTGTCACACAAGTTCTGTAAGTAAACAGCCATTCATTGCCAAGTTGATAACATTTCGGTTGGCTACAGATATCGTGACCCTAGAGCCTTACGTAGACATAGTGGTTGTAATGCTATTAGATTAATTACTTTCATTTACGAATTCATGAAATATACGAAACAAAAGACACGACAAATCACAATAATATAATCCATCATATGTAAGCAATTCATGAAAAAATGTGAACTCCAAATTTATGTTTTTCACTGTAGCACAGTTTTTGACCCCTAATGGTATAAACAAACAGATAAATAAATAAATGAGTAAATAACTAAAAAGGATTTTATGTACACCACTGATTTACAACTTGACTCACATAACTCGACAAAGTACTATTATTTAACAACACACTAGCAACAATAAACTATACAGGTTAAACATAAAAACAAAAAATACATGCGTAATCTACGAATAATGATAATATCATAATAAACAAATAAAAAAGTTAATAATCAATACACAGGGAAATTTACAAGTAAATTACAATAAATACAAATTGATTCGAGTCAGAACTTAACCAAACAAAAGTGTTATAACTAGGATAACAAAGTACCAACACAAAGTCATATAACCGTAAGATCAAATATAAAAACATATGTATGAACACTGTAATAATTATCGTACTGATATGATAATGTAGAGATTGAATAATATTTTTTATTCAAAACTTACTGTGACCTTTGAACAGGATGTTTAAGAATATTCCATGTTTTATTTTAAAGATCAGAATTAAAACGATTCTGTAGTTTTGCGTTCACAGAACAAAACGTTACCTCCTTGACAAGCAACCCAATTTGTCGTGCCCTTAAACACTTTAGGAAAGCTTATTTTGAATAACACAGTTTTTTTATAAATGTTTGATTCCTACTTTCTACTGCTAAAGTCTTGCAACATAGTTTTCCTAGAATAGATTGGAATAGAACAGAATACCTAACCTAATGTTCTTGAATAAATTTAATAATTTTAGTATTTGTTGTAAAAAATACAATACCTGAAAAACTACTAAACCTCAACCTCTCTTTAAATAATCATTTTTGGTTAATGTCACCTCTTCAGCCACCACAGTAATTAAAAATACTAGTTTTGTAAAATAAAACATGTTATTTATCATATTGCAGTAATAACAGCAGTTTTAAAGTTAAATATGGGTAAGAAGCGTCAATATGACTAAGAAAGCAGCTGTGACTTAAGACCTACTTTGGTACAGACCAAACTTGATGTTATCTGCCCAAACTTGCATAGAAACTTGCAGTTCGGTCCCACGACTTTGCAGTTAGTTGAGACCCACAGAACTTGTATCAACACTCAAACAATCGCAAACTAAAATAGATTCCATTTTAGCACCACTTTGTGCTATTAGTTACTTTAATATAGTTTGCCTTTGAGTTTTTTTGTTCGTTTAATGGTTTATACAAGGTTAAGGAAAAGTCTGGAACTTAACTTTTTAACGCGTTACAGTAGGAAAACCAAACTCGGCACATATTTACAACATAAGAAATTGCACTTTTTTATACAACTTTGCGTTACAACTTTGCCCCAGTCCCCAAAATGGGGTATTTTAGGGGCAGCCCCAAATTTGCAAATGTAAACACTTATCATAACCCTTATTTTAAAGGGTTTATCAAGATAAATTGAATAGCGCAAACCAGAGGTAAATACCGCACCTTTAATCAAAATGGTAGCCGTTTTGAAATATCCCCTACTAAATTTTTAACAGGTTATAGCAGAAAAAACTAAACTCAGCATACCTTTATAAAAAAGAGAATTCATCTTTTGGTCAGTATTAAAATATTATGTTTTGAACGTTAACTAGGGGCGTCCAGACGTTATCTTGCTTGCTCATCTTAAATCATTCAAATGGATGTGTAATATGGCACGCCCCTTTGATTAAGGGTGCGATATTGAACCCTGGTTTGCGCCATTCACTTTCTCCTTATAAACTTTTTAAAATGAGGGGTCACATGAAAGGTGTTTAAGTAAGAAAATTTGGGGCTGCCCCCAAAATATCCCATTTTGGGGGCTGGGGCAAAGTTGTACCTTCGATGAAAAAGTGCAATTTATTATGTTTTAAATATGTGCCGAGTTTGGTTTTTCTACTGCAACGCTTTAAAAAGTTAACTGGGATTTCCAGACTTTTGCTTAACCCTGTATACTTTTCGTTTATGGATTCAGCTATTGCTTACCAACGATTGCTTTGAATACCCATTGGAAGTTGTCTGTTAAATGGCCATAAATGAGACTGAAGGCAATTAATAAGCAACAGAATACAATAATTCTCAGAAATTACGTTTTAATTATAAATTTTGAATTGTTTTTATTCCAATTGTTTTTAACTATTATGCGAAAACTAATCAGCAGACAAGTTTGAAATAACAGATACTGTTTGTTGTTAATTGTTGATGAAAAAGTGCAATTTATTATGTTTTAAATATGTGCCGAGTTTGGTTTTTCTACTGCAACGCTTTAAAAAGTTAACTGGGGTTTCCAGACTTTTGCTTAACCCTGTATACTTTTCGTTTATGGATTCAGCTATTGCTTACCAACGATTGCTTTGAATACCCATTGGAAGTTGTCTGTTAAATGGCCATAAATGAGACT